CCACTGTTTATTTCGCAGGAGTAACAAGAGGATCCGTGTTCCCACTTTCCTCCCCAATTTTATAGAACTAAAATGCATGCAAAAAGGACAAAATCAATTTAAGCATTTCCATTCATAGGCGCCGGCCCTTAAGGCGTTGCTGCCTTTGCAGTGCTTTAAAGCGTTCCTGCAATCAAGGGGATATCCACCGGTGTTGTTACTGGCCAGGCTAATACTTTGTCGCTTCCTGACAGTCCCGCATTTCAAGAAACGAGGTCCTGAGCGTGATTTGTATTGATTGTTATTCTGATCTCAAAGGATGGGATGCTGGGTGGAGTAACCGTTACTCCTCCTGCGGGTGTCAATTTCGTAGCAGTCTACGCTTTGCCAAGCCATGGTCGTCATGCTTTCTCATTAATAGGTGTTATCTACCACCACAGACCACAACGAAGGTCAGACTGGCTCACGGCACGCGTTTTTCGGGCTGCTCTGCGTCAGTACAAGCCCATAACTACTCCCTTGTGTACACACGCCTTAGACCTTGCCTTCACGTCGGATCAGCCACTCCTCTAAATCTCACCACCCGTTGTTCGACAGGCTAGGGCAGTCGGCTGGCGCATAGGAGGGAAAAGGCAGTGAGACCGATATTGATGAATCCATCCGATGATATCTCGGTGCATTCTTGACTAGTCTGACGCACTCGAATCTGTCACGACGCTCATGGCTTGGAAGTTTGTCTACTGACAGGACAACCCGGTCCTTCTCGGGTCTGACAGCCGGGCTGCAATTGCTCCTTTATGTGGCTCTTGCACTTATGAGGTCCCAGTTGCCTACAAAAAACCTGAAACGCGTTGTGCGGACCAGGTCTTGTGTGGCACGAGTAGACGGACTGTTTAACTTTGTCGACCATTGCACTCGAGATCATCTCTGGTCGTCTTGGTATCGCCTTGTCACCTGTGACGGTTAGACTGTCGCGTATACCACTCAAATCTGCACAGCTCATAATCACATATATCAATACGTTATTGGCGGACACGACACCGGAATACTGTCCGACCTACGGCCAATCTAAATAGGTGCACACCACTCCTGTTGGAGGTGACTATTTCCTGGTCCGGCTCGGGATCAAATTTCATGTTTGCTGTCCGGCGTTAAGGAGCCGCTGGCTGATGATTCGAACTTCCCCAGTTGTTGATCCCCTAGTTATGGGCTGCACATCCGAGGTCTGGACTCGAGTCAGTTAATAGTCGATTTCGGGGAATACGGGAGTGCCGTGCAGCTAATTGCACCTCAGAAAAGAACACTTCCACAAATCCCTCCAGCTCAACTATGCGGCATGTGAGCGGTGTCTTGTTTGATTCTTACGGAATTTTGGGGCCAGTTTGATTCGGTCTCCAAAACTGATTGAGCGCCTTGCAAACGTCCGATCAGCAACGAAATCTTAATTGGTTCGGTGTACCCACCGATCGATTGCCCTCGTATGCGTGCAGCACTACTGAAAGGTTACACGGTATCTCTGTGCTGAATTTGAGTTTGGTGTTTCGGGCACTTTGGTCTACTATCCATTTTCGAAGATGGATAGTGCCTAAAATGTCACAGTCTAGTTTTCTAATAATAACGCGCTTGCTCGCGCATGTATTCGCAACAGTGTCCTGGCTATATTGACCGTCAACTGGTCCTGTGTTTAGCAAATATACCATTTTATGGGACACACGGACTCCACATCGGGCCTTCCAAAGTTGCACAGGGCCAATGTCTCCTTCCACCGACTTGCCCGTATGGGGCACACCAGCGTACAGACGTTCCAAGTTACTGTTTCGTTCGACCATCTCCATATCTTCAGGTTCGTCAACCGTCACAACTTCAAGATACTCGAATACATCCCAGACGTAGGAACCCTGCTGAAATCATGGCATCTGCCAATCTCCCCCTGCCCAGCATTATGCCAACAGCGAAAACCCGAAAGTCCCGCACATTATGGAACTTTTTAAACGCTTTCTGGA